TTTTTTTTTTTTTTAATCTCTAGTTGCGTGTTGCTCACTGATGCTTGGATATTTCCTATTTTAGTTTTTGGAGTCATAAGTCAAAAATAATTGCTAAGCATGGATTTCTTATTTATTGACACAAATGTTCTTTATCATGACAATCCAAGGTATTGCGCTTATAGTTGGAAAAAACATATTTGAATATTTCTTTGTGTTTATAAGTGTGATTTTCAGTGTTCATTTTCCTAGGAGAATATTCACAGTTACCAATATTGCAAAGAAGTCTTATGTCAACGATAGGCCCATGATAATAATGGTGTCAAAGTTAAAGTAATGGCACCAAAAGGCCCGCTCTTAGTTGCAGAACAAATTTCTATTCTAGTTTTAATTACAACACTAAAGGAGCATATCTCATCTTCACCCTTGGTAACTCTTTTCTGCATTTATTATTTTCCACTCTGATTTCAACACAGAAAGGTAGAACTATTGCTGAAAATGTATCATAGTCACATTTGCTTTATTGCCTTCTGTCTGTCCTTCATGTGCTTTCTGTGTGTGTGTGTGTGTGTGTGTGTGTGTGTGTGTGTGTGTGGTGTTGTATGTGCTCTGCTGTTGACACTTATTCATCAGTATCATGAAACTGGTCATTATTACATTCATATCTTGAAAATATGTATCAGTTCAATTGGGAAAACACCTCTGTTTCTTTAAATGATAAGTAGAAAACTATACGTTCTCTGATCTATTTCTTCCTATTTTATTGTTTATCATAGATGAAGAACAGAGCAATCCAAGGCTAGAAGTGCACTGTAACTGAAACTTGCTCTGCTGCGTCATATTCCAGGGTATAATGGCCTATTTCACAAAGAAAACTTGCAGAAGAAAAAAAAAATGTTGCTGTTAGAAAAGACCAGATTTCCTTTCACCTCAGAAGTGCTTGTGACTTTTTATAAAATGAATTTTTTCCAGCCACCAAACTCTTTGAATCCCTCTTTTGTAAACTGGCTCCACTAATAATAACGAAAAGATCTTTGCTAAGTCCGAATACACTATTTTCTCTCTCTCTCTTTTTTTTCACAGAATGTGCATAGACTCACTCTTCTTCCAAAGGACACTGATGTAAAACAGAGGAAGGATCTAGTTTATATCTTCAGTTTTGGAAGAGCCAAACTCGACTTATCAATCAAAGATTTTGTTTGATTTAGCAATAGCCAGACAACTACATCTTGGGCTTCACCCATACTCTAACCTCACTAAATGAGAACTTTCATGAAGACTCAACTCATGCACCCTTCTTAAAATCACTGATACCTTACATATTGCCTTATGTAGAAAACATGTTCTCTGGAAGATGAAACAATGTAAAAAATGTAATCGACATAGTAAGTCAGATTGACATTTATTTGAGGAAAGGGATTTTTCAGATCGGGGCCAATCTAACGTCTCCAGAGATAGGAAGATTATTCTGGATTATTTGAATAGAAAAGAAAAGTGCTAGTGCTCTTGTAAAAGTAAGTCACTCAAAGCACGATTCCACTACAGATGGAGAAGGAGGCAGAGCTGTGACTGGTGAAAGAGCTCCCACGCTAACTTTGAAATTAGAAGATAAAAATGCAGCTCTAGAAATTTGAAAGGCAATAGAATGTATTCTTTCTTTGAGACTCTGGAAGGAATGTGGTCACACTGACACCCAGGTTTCAGTCTTGGCAAACTGATTTGAAACCTCGGACCTCCATCCTGTAAGTGAGAAATCCATCTATTTTGATCTAAACTGCTATAACAGCCACAGGAAACCACTTCACTGAATAGCAGACACCTGCTATTTGTCTCTGTTCACTTTCCATCTTGGCTGTTTTATAGGACTCACCACCTTTGTGCATATAAGCATAGATATTCTTTATTTCCCTAAAGGAATATGAGCACTTTGAAAGCAAGACAAATTATCTCATTCACTACTGCTTCATTTATAGGAAACAAAATATTTCTTGACAAACATTGGAAGTCGCACAAATTTATAGAATGTGCAGTGTATACACGATAAATTGATGTGTTTACATTTAACCACGGATAGCATTGAATTGGTGACACATCATGCTAAAAACGTGACACTGACACCTGATGTTTTTAAAAATAAAATACATTTGATAGATACAGTTGGGGTTCTTCAAAGATATCTTGCTTGTCTACAATCAATTTGCATAACTGACAACTGATGTTTTTAAAAATAAAATACATTTGATAGATACAGTTGGGGTTCTTCAAAGATATCTTGCTTGTCTACAATCAATTTGCATGTTCATTTGGGGGGTTAGTTAATGTAAAATTTATTTTTCTTTTTGCTCCTTTTTATGATTTAGTTTTACTTCATTTTAGTCCATATGCGTAGTACATAATGTTCACATTTCATGTGTGAAGTTGGTACGTGTACCTGGCACATCTTAATCCCATGTTTCATTGTTTCCTTCCCTCACTCCTCCTTCCATCTCTGGATCACCCTCAATGTTTGGTAGATCTTCTCAGTACCTAATGTTTACTTCACATTTACTGTTTTAATGTTGATTCAAAAACATTCAAAAGCAAAATTACACAAAGAAGAAATGGGGCCAGAGAGGTGGCAAGTTAATGACATTCCCAGTGTTTAACCAGTCCCCGCAATAAAATGCAAATGAAAAAGACTGATCTACATTGTTCTCCTCGCTCACATCTGCTTTGGGGAAGGTCATAGATCTTCTAAGGGGGAGAGCTGGGCAGAAGGTAAGGCAAAAGAAATGTCTGAAATTTGAGGTATGGAAGGAAGAAAAGGCTGCACATTGCAGGATTCAGTGCTTTGATGTTCACTGGGGGTAAAAACTAAAGTCTATCAAAAGACGACACAAAACTAATCATGGTGAGTTAGGCAGTTTGTGGTCCATGCAGGAAATGGCAGGCAGGTGCCATCAAATGAGCCTGACAATGTGGTACTTGTCTCTGGATTAGAAAATCAATTTTATCTTTTAATAATTCTGTGGGATAAGAGCTTTCTTAGTCTCCCATTTTATAATGTAGAAATTGATAAGCAGGGAATAAAAACACAGTGGTACCTTGGTTCATGAACTTCATTCCTTCCATGATTCTAGGGAAGATGGTTGCTTTCCTATTCATCACCAGATGTGGAGTTCATGAACAGAAGCAAAACTTTGCTGAATGCTTTTGGTTGCAAACCAAATTGTTCTTGAACAAAATCATGAGTGAGCTGAGGGATTACTGTGACTACCTCATTATTGAGGTGTTACTGAGTCACAATTTATAAAATTTCTAGCATATATATGGCCCACTGCTGAAGTTAATCTCTTTTCTCCATCACTTTGCAGGGAACCATAAAGGTCTTATGCTAGCATGTATATTCCATCATGGAGAAAATGATACTGTTTTTCCTCTGTCTGTTATCATCTTTGCTGCAACTAAAGAGCAACATAATCCCAAATTCATGGCAGGTTGGACCCATACAAGGATGAAGGAATTCTTCCTAATAGGCTTAACTGAAAGTCCCAATCTGCAGATTCCTCTCTTTCTGCTTTTCACCCTCATTTATATCATCACACTTTTAGGTAACTGGGGGATGATCCTCCTGATCTGGTTAAATGCCCCACTGCATACGCCAATGTACTTCTTCCTCAGCAACCTCTCCTTTTGTGACATCTGATACTCCACTGTTTTTGCTCCTAAGATGCTGATCAATTTCTTGTCCAAACATAAGTGGAGCACATTTTATGGCTGTGTTTTACAAAGCTTCTTTTTTGCAGTGTATGTAACCACGGAGGGCATCCTACTGTCCGTGATGGCTTATGACCACTATGTGGCCATAGCAAAACCCTTGTCATATTCAGTCCTTATGACACAGAGCGTGTGTATTCAGATGGTTCTCGCATCCTACCTGGGTGGGCTCATTAACGCCCTGACACACACGCTAGGTCTGCTCAAGCTGGACTTCTGCGGCCCCAACATCGTGAATCATTTCTTCTGTGACATCTCCCCTCTCCTGAGGCTGGCATGCTCTGACACCCATGAGAATGAGCTGGTGCTTCTGGTATTTTCTGGGGTCATCGCAATGTTCACTTTCACTGTGGTCATGGTCTCTTACATCTGCATCGTCATTGCCATGCAGAGAATCCGCTCAGTGCAGGGGAGGCTCAAAGCCTTCTCCACCTGTGCCTCACATCTGAGTGCCGTGACCTTACTCTATGGGTCCGTGACTTTTAGTTACATCCAGCCAAGCTCCCAGTACTCCCTGGAACAGGAGAAGGTCTGTGCTGTGTTTTATACATTGGTGATTCCCATGCTATACCCACTGATTTACAGCTTGAGGAATAGTGATGTGAAAACTGCTGCCAACAGGTTAAGGTCAGTGTGGTGCAGATGACTCACACTTGACTCACCTCATGGTTCTGATAACCTGCTACTAAGCAGCTAATCAACTTTCTGTTTGTGCCAAAGATTCCATCACAGAATACAAACTAGTATCAAGATAGCATTTTGCTGCTTGATCTCCCTGAGTGGTTGCTCTTAGTTTCTCTGTCACTCGAAGTTAAAAAATGATCTCCTAAAAAATTATCATGCTCACATCTAAGGAAACTCACAGTCATTTTAAAAATAATCTAGTAGAAATTCCAAGCAAAAAATATGAATAGGCATTTATTGAATGCATTATCTCAGAGAAAATTTAAGATGTTTCCTTGGAATGATTTTTCTTATATCATTAATATTTTTCCTGACAATGGCAACATTCAAATAAAAATGTACCTTAAGTTTCATATTTAAACTGCATTTATTAATTCTATCCTCAAATGATAAAGACAAATAATTTGCATTATTTTCTAGCACAGTTCCAAAGAGAGTCTTAACTGTACATTTCGTTTGACACAAAATTACAGAGCTTCCATCTAGGAGAAACAAAATAGCATGCAGAGTAATGGCTGGAAGTAACATTAAAGATTAGAAAATAGAAGAATCTGACTATGGCTTGGAATTTTAATTTAAAATAGTACATGATAAGAGTGCCTTTGTGTATATCCATATGCATTAATTTCCTTTAAAGTTATGATAACATAGGTTAAGATTTTCTCCATGCCTAACGGCTAAAGCCCTAACTGAAATGAAAATGTTAGACATTAGGAAAAGATGCAACTATTAGGGACATGTTGGAAAGTGAAGAAAAAGATAAGCAGGCCGGAGATTTAGCTCAGCGGTTCGGTGGCCTGCCCTGCAAGCGCAAGGACCCGAGTTCAATTTCCGGTACCAAAAAAAAAAAAGAAAGATAAGCAATTTAGTAGAAAAAGTACTCCAAAGTTGTAGAGAAAAAGTTGCAACTCTAAAGCATTTAAAAAGTGCTGCAAGTAACATTAAAAAAAGGAATTCATTTGAGTTAGTTCATGAAAATTATAAATAATATAGGACACATGTAGAAGGCTTCATTTTTTGTTTACTCTTTTCTTACTGAGCAGTAAAGTTTTACTGTAGTCAGAATGTTTTGAACCTATGTTACTGATGCAGCCTGTTGTATAGCAGAGGAAATAATTGAGATGTGGAAATCTGATGGCTACTGGAATTCCCAAAAGAGGAGATTTCTGGGAAGTGGGTACAGGTGGAAACAAAGTAAAAAGGTGGCAGATGTCCCGGGTTATTGAGGAAACGTCAAAGTGGCCGGAATTGTATGTAGTACAAAGTGGAAAGAGTGAAACATTTAAAAGGCGGGCACATTTACATGTGATACATTCAGTAAGAGACACATTCAAGGCATTCGGATTGGGCTTTCATGTAAGGCCTGCATTGGCTGATAGAGAGAACTTTTTCAAGTAAACTAAAACCTACAAAATGTTAGGAAAATGTAAAGTGACTTCTGCTGTCTCTAACAGTAATCTGCTTTGCTTAGTTCAAAGTTAACAGACCCCAGAGGCACTCAGCATGAAGTGGGACATCTGGCCTCATCCCTGACCTTGAGAACCCCCTCCCTGTGCAATAGAATAGTTCATCAAAATGAAGCTTCAAATGCGTTGTTTAAAATTGGCCTATTATATATTTGTGTCAGCTCCCCGAGAAGCATATAACAGTTAAGTGCTGAACATATGTATGAATTAATTTTTTTAAATAAAAAAGGGAATTTAAAAACTTTAGTTGTTTCATTCTTAGAACATTTGAATTTATCAGAACTTGGTTTTGTGGTATTTTTGAGTTCCTGCAATTCCATTCATTTTCTGTATTTGATCTTTATCAAAGTTGTTCGAATTTTAGAGAACATAAGCCTTTTATTGGATTATGTGTAAAATTACCACATTTCATGCCATTTTTCAATAAAAGCAGAGGCGATGGTTGAGAGGCCCTCTTGGGTTCAGTCTCCAAAGACCAGACCACGTCGAGTGACACCACACGTGGGCAGCTGAGGTTCACATCCACATAATGAGCTGCCTGCCTCCTCTCTTCCCAAAAGACCAGGAAACAAAAATCAAAAGCCTCCACTCCCCCAAGGAAGTCCTTTAAGATTTAAGAAAATTTTATGTTCTCCAATGGTTGATCAGCTTATTCTGAGCTTTACTTAATTGTAAGTATATTTAGGAAATAGTGATGCAGATTTATTTCAATTTTATTTTATTTCCTATTATTTCCATATATCAACAGATAGTGTGACATTTTTATAATATTTCCCTAACAGATAGTTTCCTAACCTGTGGTTTACTTATTGTTAAATGGACTTTCTGTCTTGTGGAAAAAGGCAAGGTATCTATGCAATAGCTATATTAAACATGTTCTCCTGTATGGACAATTCACATTTATATTATTTCTCACTTGGGTCATATAGTAGCTTGAAATTATCAGAAAACTCACAAAAAACATTTAAAGTAGACCATCTTTGTCTCTGGACCCTGTCTGCAACATAACCAAGGCATGGGCACAGAGATTTTATTCAGATTGGTGTTAGGGACCACAAAGTACTACTTCTTACAAATCTAACTTAATAAAATGGTTTTCACAGTATTGTGACTTGTTTGTGATCTAGGTAATCCAAGCTATACTTTTGAATCTTTCCTTATGCGAGGTTTGTTGTTATTGATAGTGGGTTTTCAAAATTTTGTATATGATCATTGTCAGGTTTTATGTTCCGGTGTGCTATTGCATTATAGGTTCTTTTGTTGTGTAAATAATTTTGAGTCATAGGCTATTGAGTTTATATCATGCAAAGTGTAAAAGCAAATCTAAAAAGCACACATTTATAGAGTTATAAATATCTATATGTAACATAGTTTGTGTAATATTTAACCACGGTTTGTACATATTTTATACTATGAACAAAACAAGGACAGTACATATATATTCACTTTCACCTCATATAGTAATTTTATTTATTAATGTCAAAAGTAAAATCTTGTGACTAAACTCACATGAAGGTATTTAAAGCATAAATTAATGATTGTGGCCCTACAGTATGAACATACCATTATTTTTATCTTTAATTATTTTGATAGGCTTTTCATTGGGATCCATATTTTACCACAGTGAAAAATTATCTGAACTTCATGAATTCTCTCACCAATATACTCATCTAGTTCTTTACCTGACTGCTAATGATTACATTTTCCTATTTTTTGCAGCCATAGATTAAAAATAAATTATGTGAAGAAATTTCATATTTTATCATGATACAAGGGAATGAACTGAGAGCTATAAAAACTGATTTTGAGTATATCTTTAGGTTATTTAAATGTTATTTCCTGTCTTTATTTTCTTTAGAGAATAGTCATAGTTATTAGCATTTTAAAGTGTCCTTTTATTTTAGCAGAACAAGTGGTAGAAATTCCCTCCATTGAGAACCTCTCTTCTGATTATAATTCTAAAAGCATAGGAACAAATCACAACTTCACCTTTCCAAGCACTTGTCTGTGTTCATTATCTCCCACTGCAATTTCAACCGATAGAGCTAGAAAGTCAGGAAAAACATGCTATACAAGGGCCAGGGATTTGGCTCAATGGTTCTGCCACCTGCCTTGTGAGCGCAAGGACCCAAGTTTGATCCCCAGTACCAAGAAAAAGAAAAAAGAAAATAAACACATAGCACATTTGAGGGCTGGGGGGTTAGCTCGGCTGTTTGGTGGTCTGCCTTGCAAGCGCAAGGACCAGAGTTCGATCCCCAGTACCATAAACAAAAAACAAAAATCAACCCCCGCCCCAAAATGTTGCAGTCAAGCTCATCCTCTTTTCCTCTCTGCATGTGTGCTTTTTCTTTTTCTGTGTGCTGGCATAAAGACATATGCAGCAGTGTCTCTGACCGTGTCCCGTGTC